TTTTGTGACAACCCKTCTTCAAATTAGCTCCCTGTTCCTTCCCTCCTCTTCACCATTGTCCCAAGTTATATATGCAGTGGATATGGTTGTATTTGTCATTTCACTGCCTGGTATTCAGAGATTGCAATTTTCCCTGCTGTTTTTTTAAGTGATTCATCGAAAGGGAGGGCTGTCTTGATGGCGGCTTTGTCCACCCTTACTAAATTTGCTTCCAGCTTTCTCAGTTCTGCTTTCTCAGAGCTATCATGTAAACCACACATTGGGACTGCATTATCTTTTCCTGATGAGCTCATGTGGTAAGAGGAGTTGGTTTCCTTAGGTWTGTCTGAGGCCTCAGAATATGCACAGGAAGGCGGTAGTTAGAGATGCTTTCTCAAAGTCAGTTTAGGGAGTTTTGTTGGCACAGTTGGAAGCACAATAGGCTGCACCATGGGGCAGGATTGAGTGGCTGGAGGAGGAGGATGGGGGTCTGACAGTCTTGGCTGCTGGAGTGACTGCTTACGTGCCACCTTCCTTATTGCAGATTTGTTTTTCCTGTGTGCCCCAGTAACAGATGTAAAGGTTCCAACATGGTTCTTGTTCAGAAAAGTAAATTTAAAAAGTTTCTGATTTACTGATTTCAAGCTTTCTAGTTTTTTTGAGAGTCAAAATAACATAATACAGATATTACTGCATCATACTCTTTATAGGACTTTCMGTCCATACCTGATAGCTTATATTTAGGCTTTGGAAAAGCTCAGATCTCAAAGGGTTGAAGACAGCATAGGTGTAAGGAGTACTACAGGGCACACTTTTTGTGTTTGTTTACTCTCAAGTCAAGATGGTTTTGTTAGCAACTTGGTTCTCTTTTTTGTCAGTGTGTCATTACCCCCGTGGTACCAGCATTATGAGTTCAGCATGAATAAATCTAGAATAGCATGTGATAGGAGGCTTTGAAATGTTTTTTTTGCCAATGACGTTCCTGCAATTCTTTCAGTTGGTCATCACACCATCTCCAGGATTAGAGGTTTTCACTGGCTTGTGGCCAGTTATAATTCTTTCTGTACTGCAGAAGATTTGCATGGCTTCATGTGCTGAAAGCTGAGTGCGAAGTATTTTTGGGTGTTGAAACTCCTGATGTGTCCATCACATTTAACTCTTCGATTCCAGGATATTTGGAAGGAAACTGGCTGGTTAAAATAGATTCATTTTTAGGAAAAGTGCAACTCTGGTGGGATCTGTGTACTATGTGCACAGATATTTGTTATCACAAGYAAATATTTGTTATCCTTTCACTAAATAACAGATGAAGAACATGTGAAGTAGTGATGCTTCAAACTTAAAACGAGCATTTGACTGAAAAAATGAAATACAGAGAAAAAAGATGAATAACTGCTGTTTTCTCATGGCTCATTAAGCATGACTCATGGCAGTGTATTCCATTTCCCAGTGGCAAAGATAGATGCATCTTTCTTAATTGAAGCAAGTCTCCTTAATCCTTGAGAAACTGAGCCCATTATTCACTGAGAGTAATACTGGTGCTTTTGCATGGCAGCAAAAGGTATGCATTTCAAAAATTACAGCAAAAATTGCAATTTAGAGGATTGATTAGCTGTGCTGGGGACTAAAGGACCCCCAGCTGAGAGAAGTCTGGAAATTGCTGGTTTACATCTATAAAAGGGAACTTTTAGCTTCCTGTTATAAACTTGAGGAGAACTAGCAGATAYTACCCTACTGATAGCCACACTCTTCCTACAAGGGGGTGTCAAGGCTCTTGTGGTATTTGTGAAAATTGTAKTTTGCCAATTGTCAGTGGACAAAAATAGCGCCCAATGCTTGTTGCTCCATAGTATGCTTCCTGTCTAAGTAGGAGGTGATTTTTCTAGTCTTTAACAAGCATMTTACATTTTTTGTATTTTTCTTTCAGCATGTGAAGCGCAGCTGTAGTTGTTTTATATACTGTGCTTGTTGTGCCCTGGCAGGATGRTTGTGACTGATAAAATAAGCCTGTRTCACACGTTTATCTTTTTGCACAGTAGTAACATGAGGAAAAGAGGGTGCCTGAGTCAGAGCTGTCATTCCAACATGTTACAGTTGATTGTGTAAATCCCCACTTACTGAATTGCAAAATTACACCTTTATCCACATATGCTATTGTAAGATATTGTAATGACTGCTTTTGGTACGTTTGAGGGTCATTTGTCATGCCTTTTGCATATCACTTCAAAGGACAAATCTGGTAGTTGTTYACTAGTGGCTTCTGCAAACTCTACAAGCAGCAATGAGGTCACAAATCATGCAAATTCTTTCATGTATTTTGAAAGAAAAGGCCACTTTAAGCAAAGCATAAATACAACCATATGCTCATATCTTGGAGTCTTCGCTGAAATCTGACAATAAAATTGCTGTGTATATGATTTTTTTTCTGAAGAAGAAACACTGTTGTTTTTAGAGCAGTAGCATAGCAGCAATTAACTTGGTGGTCTTTTACAGTTAAGTGTAAAAATGTTTATCGAGTTCAAAATTGATAGAAGTAAGATTTGGTAATTCTTAAAGACAGGCGTCTATATATTTTTTTTTTTTTTAGAATAAAGAGACAGCAGTAAAACCAGAAGAAATCTTGTTACAGTCTGTTCAATAGAAGGGTATGCGAAGTAGAACTGTTGCTGTTTTGTTAATCTTGGTACAGCCTAGAAGCATCTATTTAGACTTGATGAACAACCATTTCATATTAAGAAAAATCTTTACAGCACAGTTTACTTTTCTGTTGAAGGAAAAAGGAGTTGTGGGCTTTCCCTTGTTAAGTTTTCCACAGTGATTTTGATAGTGAAAKCTGAATGAGTTGGCTTTTGGAAATAATGTTAAAAGCTTAATTAAATGCCATCTGCTAATACTCTGTATCTCTACAAAGAGGGCAGTTTGCAGAAGTTGCTTCAAGGTCTGAAAGGAATATTCCCTTAAACACTTAAAATAATCAGTGCTGTATGTGATTAGAGCAATTTGTTTCAATGCGATTCCTCAGAAAGATAACTGAGAGATCTGTGGGTTTGTGCACCAGCAATGATGTTGGTTGTCACCTACAGAGCTTTTCTGCAAGCAGGAGAAGCAGATTGTTCTCTCAGAGGGCAACTCGTGCAGATGGAAGAGAGCACAAAGATTGGCTCACTCCTAATTATCTGAAGCGCAACCAATAGCAGTACTGGATACATAAATGTYGTAGGTTGTCATTGTGATATTTAAGTTAATGGAGGTGTCTGCAAAACAATAATGGCAATATGACCACTAAGGAGAGTGCAGGAAGGAATTGTCTGCTCTGCAAACAAGCTGATTACTAGAGGGATTTATTGAATGAACTCCATGTGCATCAGAAAGGGACCACTGCACATGAAAGGACAATGTAACTTTAAATTGGCTTTTAAATAGGAGAAGGAAGCAGCAGTTCTCTGTTTGGGTGCAGCTAGCCTAGTGCACTGGGAGCATTTCATTAGGCAGACAAGAAGAATGGTAGATTAGGGAGGAAGAAGTGAAGAGAAAAAGAAAAGTCTAAATTGGAACAAGTGGTGTCAGCAGAGCATGCCAGAGGGTCTGGGAGTGAGCAGGCTCTGCTTGCTCACCCTTTGGAATGAGAGCGCAGCAGCAGCACGCAGTGAGCTGGGGCAGCTGCTGTGCTGGTGGTAAGGCTTCCTCTCTGACAGTAAATATGACTCAGAAGAGCCCAGGGAACACCAAAGAGCAGCATTTGTGCCCGTTAGTCACAGTTCTGTTGAAGTACTCAATGTGTTCAGTGCTTTGGTGCAAACACGGGAATTGCTTTTAGGGCGTGTTTCAGTGGTACAATGCCTGCATTAAGGCTTTTCCCCAGTSTTTCAGCAGCACATGAAAGGTCTTTCAGAGCAGGGAAGTAGTCACTGGTTTTGTGCTTTTTTAAAGCCCTCAGTGTGGCAGGTTATTGCAGCTGGTGAAGCTGATGGAGCCACATGGAATAAAGCCTGTGTGGTGATACCTTCCACCAGCTGAGAATGTGGCCTGAGACTGGGTCATGTGGTAGTTGCAGGCTGTGGTGCCAGCTATTCACTCTGTGAACCTGAAATAAAAGTACTGGTACTAAAATGTCTTAAAACCAGCTAGCAKAGTTGAAGTATGGCTTTAAAAGTTTAAGGAAATCAATGTTTTTAAGTATTTACAGCATTTATGTGCTGTACCTGTGTACAGGTAGAGAAAGTAGATAACCATGTCTTTTACTGTGACTGACCTTACTTAATTTCCTCTCTACAATGTCATCAACTCACACTGTTTAACAGAATCATTTATTTAAAGGAGAAGTCACATTATTTTTGTTTTAATACAGGGGTGCAATCATAAGTCCCAGGTTTTTCTCAGTTTGTTAACTTTGCAGGTGCACTGGAGATAAAAGATGTTAAAATGTGTGTCAATCTATAGATTAAATTGTGCTCATGTGTTACTACAGGTCTCTTGATCTAGAAGAAGCTAAAGTAGATGTTTCTCTCATAAAATGATTTGGAAATTATGTGATGTACTCTGTCTCGTATTGTAGCCTTTCTCCCTAAAATTGACAGAAAAGGTTAACAGAAGGGAATTTCACAGAAAAGAAAATTATTTTTGGAAGAAGAGACACAAAATTGTTACCTAACTGTTGTGGGAGTCTCTTGCTGATTGCCGAAGTGATGTTTGAAGCCTGGCAGTGTGAATGTGCACGTGTGTGGGCACGAGCTGGGAGCTCCAGGCGGGGTGGGGAGGCACAGCAGGCTCTGAGACCCGCAGAGATGGGGCAGTGCTCGGCTGCCAGGCCCACAGCCCTCCTCTGAGAGCCCGGCTGCTTCGGGGGGTAAACTGACTCCAGGGGCAAAGAATGATTTTGATGTTAAAAATTAATGCTCTGCTTACTGCTTGAAYTGTAAAGCTTCTGCCTGAAATTGGTTATGGTCTTAGTCGTGTTAATATAATGAATAAGATAACTGTTCATTTCACGTTGCTTATCCTCAGTGTGTTTATTAATGCAGGCAAGAAGACAGCAAGACCCTAGTCCTGGATCAAACCTGGGGAGTGGTGATGATCTCAAACTACGTTAATCAGCGGCAGCAGGCGTCCCACGGGTCTGCACACATGCATTGCTTCTACTTGGCAAAGGATGGAATAAAAGACCAGAAACTGTGATAACTGGGTATATTATGGTCTGTTTCCTGACCTGCGGCAGTCGAGGTCACCACGAACTGCCATGGTTTGCACTATGTTTATGTTACGATACCTGCATTTCCCATTTTAAGCATGTAGCCAGTGGCAATTTGAAATTTTGTTTTTCTATGCAAACTTATTTTTGTTGGCACTATTTTAGTGAAATGGAAACTTATGCAGCTATAAAACCATTTTTCTCAACTGTAATAAAAATTGTCACTTAAAAATAGGTCAAGATATTACGGATTTAGAACAACTTTTTTTTTGTTGGTTTTTTTTTTGTAAACTGCTGGAAGCCAACGCATTCCAAGCTTAATTTTTTAATATGGGCTTTTGGAATTTTGATTGTCCTTATTGTGCTCCTGCTTTATTTTAGATATGCATTCTTATCTTTCTCTCAGTTTTCTTTTTTTCTAAATTTGCAAGACCTTCTTAAAACTGCTGACATTATTTTGCATTATTTCCAAGCTAAACCCAGTGAATCAGAGCTGTTGGAATCAGTTTTCAAACTTTGTGGGTTTGTAAATGGTACAGTTGCAGTATTCTTTTAACTGCTAACAATTCATCGGTTTCACTTTTTAAATGATAAAAGTTTTAAAATGCGTATTTTCATGCATTAATGCATTCTGCCCCATTATCTGTCTTAGATTTTATTCTGTACCAAGTGAGTTTGGGTGGCTGTTACACCCTGTATATAGTGCTTTACTGAAACTCAGAGGAAGTCGCAGGCTGGCTTCTGTTTTATTCAGGGATTTTTTTAACTAGTTCTTCAAAGGGATACTGCAACTCCACAATCAGATTCAACAGCATTTAAACTGGGAACGAAAGTGATCAGCTGCCAAGGTGATATATATTAAATCATGTTTAAGATAACTGCTTTAAGTATGTTTTATATCTTAGGCTTTTTGTAAAGTTGTGCTRAATGGTGAAAAGCTGAGATGAGCTTGTGTGCAGGAGTCTCATACTGCACATAGGCCTCTTCTATTAAATCTTATGCAAATTAAGACTATGTTGCAGTATATATTGCATTTTCTAACAGGGTAAGATTTGGGATGAATTAGTGTTTGAATTAATCTTGTTTTATTTGGGGTGGTGGTGAATGGACTTGCTCCAAAGTTTTCATTGCATCCAATATTTGAAGAAAATTTATTGGAAATGTGATGTCATTTGGCTTTGTTAAAATGCAGTGCTTCCTGTACAGCCTGATTGATTAAAATGCCACTTAAATACCTTTTTAAAATAAGTGAAATAAGTAAAATACTGATCTGAATTCAGTATTTTAAKAATTATTTTAAAGATAGAAACTATATGGTTAGAACAGTTAAAGCTTCATTAAATTCTATAATTAAGACAATTATACATTCCTCATTAATGGCAAAACAATTGATGCAAAAGAGGTCTTGCAAAAATGTAAGCAGATGTCAATGTGAAGGAGAATCTTTGTATGTTAATAATATGAATATTTAACATTCACTTAAAAATGTCATTAACTGTAAACTGTGAGAATGTCATCAAATAGAAATATTTTGATACTTCAATTTAAATGTGATTCACCTGAAAGATAATCTTTTTCACTCTGTGGCCACATATTCTTCTTGCTCTCTTCCCCCAAAGAAATAATTTTTCTAAAGTGTTTCTGCAAAGAGTTATTTAAGGGACACACGCATGCATCTGCACGCATCCCTAGCCTTGGATCTTCTCTGCCATCTGTGTATTTTTGATGGAATAGTCTGAAGATTTATTTTAAAAGGTTTTCCTAACGTTTCAGACAGTGGTTCTAAACCATAAGTACACAGGAAATGACGCTATCAGATATTAACGTTGCTATCTCTGTGTAAATACTGAACTTTCCCTATCATCATTTAGCATTCTGCTGCTTTCCATATCTTAATGCTGGCATTAAGATCACAGCCCTTACCCTCTGCTGGTTAGTGCAGACTTTTTAAAGTGCATTTTAAGTTATTGATGCAATTTGATATTTTTCATAATTTCTATTTAAACTGAAGTTGCATCATCTTTCTTGAATTCATCTCCTGTAAGAGTTGCCTTAAGCTACAGGATTGCTTTTGCTACTTTTTGTGTTGTATGTTTAACTTTCATAATAAACTTCTGTGTAGTGAAAACAAGGTGCTGTAAGTTTATTTGACTCCCTGGTAGTCTCTGCTGAGGTRTTTTGTTTAGGTGCAAGGCTGCCTTGATGTCCGTGGCTAAAGCAGTGGTGACATCCAGTGGTCACTGAAATAACTGACCCCTCTCCAGCTGCTGTCTGGGAGGAGCCTTTTATTAAAGGGTCTACACTGGGGAAAAGGTGGATTTTGCTGCCCTGAAATTCTTGTTTCTTACAACTGATATGGCCTGCTTACTGTAGAAGTATGGATCTGCTCCAGGTGCCCCAAACAATGGGCTGTGTGTGCTTACAGAGCCTTTGTGGACAYATTGTTATAGCAGCCACCAAACCTTGTTAATTGTGCTGCTTTAGGTGAGGGGGGAACCAGGGGAATTGCATGTGCAAATTCAGGAAATTGGAAATGTGGTAAAGTTCTGTGGGGAAAATATGGATGTTTTATGCTACACCTGAGAACCTTCTCAAGATGCTAAAATTTTAGGTGGTATAACTTCAAATATCACTGACTGCATGACAGTGGTTAGGTACTGAAATCAGGTAGGATTGCTTTCTTTGTAACTGAAGAGCTGCTGTCTGCTTTGGGAGCATTAAACATGCAAAAGGACAACGTGTAACCTTATTTTAGACTTTTATGATCTGACTGTGAACAGATCAGAGGGCACCTAAGAAAAACAGCACTGCTGTGACCTGTGACTTTCCTGGAGGTGTTCTTCTGCATGTCTTTTAAAAGAGACAAATGACAAACCACATTGCTCTGCTTCTGTTGCTGAGGGCAGATGGTGTCTGTCAGCTGCTCCAGGCTCTGCTGTCCAGGCAGKGTTTTAAAAGGCATCTGTAAACAGCTGTTCATAAAGCCAGTGGGTAATTTGTCCATTTACCTGTGAGTTGATGAAAGGATTCACTTTTCTGCCCAAGGTACATCACAAGTGGATGAGTACTGTACTTATACTACCTCTGTGGCTGAAGGCAGCTTCAGGACAGAGACATCTTGTCCCTTGGCTCCCTCATAGATGATATTTGCCTCTCTGTGTGAACAGCAAAGCCARCCTGAAAATCTCCCTGCATGGGGCACATGCAGTGGAGAAGGATTTTAAAACATTACAATCCAGTCCCTTAACTAGTATGACTTAGGCATGGCTGTCCTTGATTTGGGAGTGAAAGACCACTGGAAATGCTGGAGCTTTTTGGAGTCAAGAAGGGTGTCAGTGGCATGAAGCCCAACCACAGCAGGTGAGGAATGGTCACTTCCAGCTGGGTTGTACAACCTGCTGCTCTTACGTGACCCCGTGAAGCCAAGAGAAATACRAGTATTAACTGTTCTGCAGGATTCTAAAATGGTTTGGGTTGGTTCCAACCCCCTCTCCAACCTTCTACTAGAACAAGTTGCTTAGAGCCCTACTTGGCCTTGAACACTTCCAGGGATGGGGTAYCCACAGCYTCTCTGTGCCAGGGCCTCACCACCTTAACAGGGAAGAATTTCTTCCTGATACCTAATTTAAATCTCTCCTCTGTGAGTTTGAAGACATTTCCCCTTGTCCTGTCACTCCATGCCCTTGTTGAAAGTCCCTCTCCGGCCCCTTTGGTTACTGGGAGGGCTCTCAGGTCCCCCTGGAGACTTCTCCAGGCTGCACATCTCCTGTGTATGTAGGAGAGGTGCTCCAGCCTTCTGAGTTTATTTGTGGCCTCCTCTGGACTCCAGCAGGTCCATGTCCTCTTGCTGAGGACCCCAGAGCGGGATGGAGCACTCCAGCTGGGGTTCTCAATGTTTAGTCTCTTTACTGAAGTCCTTAAAATCCAGATGGGCAGGTTTCCTAGTTTCTCTTGAGGGAAACAGCAGCTGTCCTGGGCTCATGGCCCCCTTTCTGAAAGCTGAAAACTGAGAAAATGAACTGTGGGTGAAAACAGCATCTTTTCTGTTCCTGCAGATCTGTGATGGTTTGTCTAATAAAGAGCCTTCTTCAGGTAAGAGCCGGGCAGTTAAATGAAGGAGATGTGGTTTTGGGGAACTCCAGAACTGCGTGGCTTGGGAGGATCTCAGCAGGACTTCTGTTTTTTTTTTTGGTTTTTTTTTTTGTTCACTATTGATTCAGGACTCCACTCTGTCATCGATGTATTAAAGATTCCATTTTGTCTGTACAGAAATAGGACCAATTTCTGTGAAGTTGCATTATTTTGTTGCTACATTTCCAATGCAAATGAGGGAACGACAAAAATGGCTTCAAGGATGGGAATTGCAGCGAGAARTCAGAGCAGAGCGAACATTTGCATGGGCAACATTTCTCATAGCTCATTTGCCTGACATCCTGTCTTCACACTGCCACCAAATGCAAATCCCAGGCCATGCATATTCATCAACTGCTGCATGCTCAGAGCTGCTCAGGGTTTAAGTAACTATTAAATAGGTTTCTCAATTACAGGTTGAGATAAGTGAATTTTCAGAATTGCCTTGGGCTCGTTTCTTAAAGCTCAGGAGTGAGGGGGGAAAGCACAGAAGAGCTGAGCGGTGCTGCACTAGCGCTGTCACTGGCAGAGTGGATGGATGGGGAAAGGAGCGGGGAACCAGCATGGTTCTTGCTCAGCAGGAACTGGACTGAGCTTGGAAATGCAAAGATCTTCTAGAGATGGAACAAAGTTTGCTTTTGAAATCTGGCTTTTCCACCTCTGAGCCTTTAGAAAAGGCACGCTCAACTCTTTCAGCTTTTCCTGTTCAAACCTTGCAAAAACCCAGCCAAGTCTGGGCATAGAGAAACAAGACTGTAAGAGAACCAAAGCTTTTTGGCTGTGGGATGCRCTTGTCCCTGATGCCTTCCCATGTGACTGTTACTGAAGCAGATGACTGGGGTGGTGGTGCTGTTGTTGCAGGATTTTGGAAGCATTTCAGGGCTGTGGCCCTTCACAGCAGTGATGCAGGTCAGGGTTTTTTCAGGCCATGCTCCTTGGGAGAGCTGGCACAGGAAGACTGGGGGCTTGGGAAGCAAGGCCTTGTCCATGGAGCCAGGAGCCCCCAGCTGCCACAGCCCAGGAGGAGGAGGAGGAGGATTGCTGAGGATGCATGAGAGCCGGCTATGATCCAGCTCCAGGTCACACAATCGTACAATGGTTAGGGTGGAAGSAATCTTAGAGAACATTTAACCTGCCCCCCTTGCAATGGGCACGGGAAGCTTCCAGGTCATTTGCTCTGGCTGTGTTTGAGATCTGGGGGCCAGGGTGAGGAGGCAAGGGAGAGACAGGCAGTGCTGCATGCACAGACTGCTCCTGGCTGCCCAGTGATGGCCCGCTGCTCGGGTCAGAGCTGCTGCTGAGGAACCCCCGAACACTTTCTTGGCAGCGACAGCCCCGGCCCAAAGCCACTTGGCGGATGCTCCCACACAGATGAGAGGACAGATCCTCTTTTTGGTTCTGCTTTCAGTTCTGCTCTGCAGAGCACGTCTGGTGTATGAYTGCCGGGACCTGGTGCCGGTGGTCTCGTGGGGTGCGTGACTTTCTGAAACCRCCAACCCCAACGAGGTGCCTCATCACCAGCTCCTTCAAAGCCTCTCGACACCAGACCTCTGCATCTGGGACTACGGTGCACTGCGCTGGGAGTGAGGCACAGTGAGCATCTCTGTTGTTGGTTCTCTCTATCACAGCCCATGAGCAAGATTCGAGTCACCCCCATGCTGTTCATTTACCAGACAGTGATTAAATGGGGACTTCTTTTGCCCCATAAAAGCTGTGCTTTAAATTACTTTATTTTAACAGAATCCCTGTGCTTTGCCCCAGGGTGAATTTTCCCACGAGTTTTCAACTCATGAATAAAAGCCCAAGGGCCTGGCTGGGCAGCAGCCGAGGGATGCAGTGGCCAGCGGCTCCTGGAAGGACAGATGCTGACGGCGCTGGCTCCGTGCTGGCGGATCCGGGAAGGAGCCGRTGACCATCCCCTGTGCCGGTGCCCCGGTCCCGCCGCATCCCGGCTCCCTGCCCACGCCTGGCAGCGCTTTCCGGGCTAAACCACCCCGAAGCACAAAGAGAAACCACCGCATCTGTTTCTAATGAAGCCGAAGCCAGTTCAGATCTAGCCCTGCACGAATCAGATCTTTCAAAATGTATCTGGAGTTCTGTGAAATGCACATAAAGTGTGCCGCCCGCCGGCGGGGAGCGCTGCCCGGGGGCGACGCGGAGGAGCTGCTGCCTTGTGAACAGCCCCTCCCGTGCCAGCTTTTACCGCTGCTCCCTTTCCTGCTCGGAATGCTCCGTGCCCGTCCATCCGGACCCCCTGCACAGCCCCTGCCCTCGCCCCAGCCCATGAAATGCCCTGTGCGGTGGGGCAGGGGCTGTGCCTCTGCTTGGACAGTGTTTAAGGCTCAGCAGCACCCTCGGGTGAGCGCCGGGAGCCTCCTATTTCTGCCCATCTCCGAACACGCTGCAAAAATGCAGGGGAGCTTTTGCAGCTGCCAGGGGCCCGAATCTGGGACGTGAGGAGGGCTGTTGGTCCCGAGTGAGCAGGAGCCGCAGCCTTGCCATGCTCCCCAGCCCTGGCCAGGCACAGAATCACCTCCAAATCTATTCCCGAGGGGCTGCTCAGCCCAGCACCCCGAGCAGGGAGGAGGATTCTGTCCTGGAGAGGCTCCGGCTGAGGCTCAGGATAGGCTGGAGGCTCGGTGCGGGCAGGCAGTCGGTCCGGTGAGAAAAGGAGCTTTGTGCCCCAKCAGCCCGGCGGGAGCRGAGCAGAGCAGAGGRRCAGCTCCKGTCACCGCGGCCGGAGCTGATGCTGCACATCCCGCCCGTGTCAGCCTTGGCCGCCGCTCCAGCCTTGGTTTCAGGGCGATTGGAACCCCTCCGGCCAGGGCAGGGCAGAGCAGGGCAGGGCTGGACACGCTCAGCGCGGGTGAGGAGGGGAGAAACGCTGAGCCAGGGAAAAACGGAGCCAGGGGTCTCCCCTGGGAAGGGCCCGGGTTGGGGCTGCCAGACCTGGTATTAATGGGGCACTGCCCAACCCGGTGGGACCCGAAACCCACCGGG